TATTTATATAGTTACCATTGGAGTCAGGGGATTAATATTTAGGTAATATTCCCTAAATCCAATGGTAACTATATAAATAGGTTCCCCAAATCCAATGGTAACTGTATAAATAGGTTCCCTGACTCTAATGGTAACTGTATAAATAGGTTCCCTGACTCTAATGGTAACTATATAAATAGGTTCCCCAAATCCAATGGTAACTATATAAATAGGTTCCCCAAATCCAATGGTAACTGTATAAATAGGTTCCCCAAATCCAATGGTAACTGTATAAATAGGTTCCCTGACTCCAATGGTAACTGTATAAATAGGTTCCCCAAATCCAATGGTAACTATATAAATAGGTTTCTAGTCTTACACTGCTAAATTAGGGACGGCTAACGCAGATAGCCCTCGTGTAGCTTTGCGCGAACTTCAAAAAACAACCAAACTGATACAAACGTTTGCCAGGAAATGTTGTGATTTGATCATATTTATTGTGTATTAAAAATAAAATCGATTCAAATTATTGTCTGTATTTATTCGTAAAACGTAAGTCAGGGACACTAGTTCGCGTAATAAAGAAACATTTAAATTAAAACGGAAACCTTCTTCCTTCATATTTTACTCCATATCTGCCCATTTTACCTCTATGGAGAAACAGTCTCCATTTTGTAGTGCTTGCAGTAACAGATTTAATTTTCATAAACGCGTAAAATGGATTCAGTTTCCCAGTTTTCTGTAAAACAAAATCCCATATTTTATGTGTAGCTATAGTAATTTTGTAGCATTAATTTAGTCTTATCGGAAAAGGCTGTGTGCAACGTGGGGAATCGAACCCCGGATGTTTGCGTTGTAAATTCGTAAACTTACCGCTGTCCTACCAGGGGGACACCATTTTAACAAGGAAGAAACACGACTCTTTACTGTATTCTATCTTCTACTAGTTTCTCAGTGTCTTTCATTCAGCATTCACTGATGTGATGGTGTATTTGTGTGGTTCTTTCCGTTTTATCAGCTGGTCTTCAACAGAAGGCTAGCTTTGGCATTCAGGTATTTGCCACTTTAAACACGTGACAGCCTAAATACGGCTTAGTGCAAGTTTAACTAAAGAAACTGTCGCTGTCTTCTGCAGTATTTCTTCAACTGTTATAACGCTACACCAACTGATGTTAACCCTGCGTTTCCGACTTGTGTAAATCTGCTTACAACCACCATGCGCAAAGATTCGCGAATTTTTGCAGCGGGCCATTCGAAGTGTTGCGCGCAAAATGCTTGCATTATTATGATATCTTGGGCACTTACTGACGAATCTGTTTAGTCTCTTTTGAATAGATTTATATGGTTTACTTGTTTCGTCTCCATATAAATAATACAGGAATTGAAAAAAATAATACATGTTGTAGGTACGTTGTTTGTAAGGGCATCTTCAACGGGGGGCAGAACTCCTTAGGGAAGAGCTCTGACACTGAAAGTATTATTTTTTTCTGCGTCACCCAAACTAACTCCTTTCACCCTATCCCCCTACAAGTAATAAATCCTATCAACGCCAACCATATAGCATCACTAGTAGTCAATTGTTGCATAATAAAAAAAAAAAGACTTCCCAGATTTGTTACTGACATAATTAGATTAACTTAACAAAGCTACCGCCCCTCTTATTCCAAAAATTGAACTTCTAATACTCTTGTATAACTACGGGTATAGCTTAGATGTATTTTTCAACCGGTTACAAGAATATAATGTTAGTTTCTCGAAAGGTTGGTGTTCACTGGTTGTTTAGAAAGCTACACGTTCGTGCTGTAATATGAAGTAGGTAAGGCGTCTATACATAAGTGTGACAATAATTGTTAATATTAGAGGCTACGTCTACTATTGTACATTAAATATGGTAACTTTATGATTGAGAGAACAACTTGGAATAATTCACAGTATTCTAACAGTTCTAAATATATTCTAAACTAGCAGGAGTTATCATTGGTAATATAATTAGGGTGATCACAGTCTCCATTAAAATGGTAATTAATATTTACCAACTTACATATTTTAATTCACATTTTAGAATATCTTCAATTAATGGTAGTTTATGAAGTTCTGATCAATGCACAACCCAACACCACACTCATGACAATGGAATGATGTCACTTTATGCACCTTTTTGTGTATGTCTGTGTTCTTGGACACTATGCAAGGTACCTGCCTGTGATGTCTTTTTTCTGCAGGTGGAAGGTATTCCAGGAAATGACAGGTCATGAAGTCTCCTCCTGAAAGCCAATCAGGTGCAGAGAATTGATGACGTCCTGACTTTGTTGGTGCAAGAGTTCCATATTTCTTGAGGATTTGCAGGATAATGTTGTAACTGAACACCCACAACTTCATCCTCAACAAGATGGTGGAAGACCTTCTTATACCACTTGATGGACTTACAGAGGCACTCCACATCACCGATTTGCATATTTGATTTGTTGACCACACACGTTTTCCATGTAGTCCAACACTGTGTCAGGTTTCATAATTTTTTCATTGGTTGCGTGGTGCCTCTTGTTGCTGTCCTTCATAGTGATTTTGTGGATGGTGGCCAACATGGCGACATCCCCATTGTCATGATAACAGAAGCCCAAAATATTCCCAAATTTTCAGAGATCAATGTCCCCAAGTGTGGCACCTTGCTTGAATTTAGGCATATACTTTCGATTGACACAGACAGTGCCAACTGAACCTTTGTTATTTTTATGCAGAAAATGCTGTAGGGAAGGACTTGTATACTAATTATTGTTATAAATGATATGTTTTTTTCCCATGTTCTTGTCCATCTTTTTTTTTATGATGGCACCTCATATGCTCAAGTGATCATCTGACAGAATGTCAACATTAGTTGCTGTGCATGTTATCATATTGAAAATGATATCGGTCTCACAATCACACAATACAAAAATCTTTATGCCAAACTGGTGTCTCTTTGATGATATCTATTGCTTGAAGACAAGCCTTCCTTTGAATAAGATGAGTGACTCATCTATCACAAGCTTACAGAAAGGATAAAAGAACTTGGTAACTCTCTCCTTCAGCACTGTAAATAAGCCTCATATTTTCCATAGCCGATCGTTCAGAAATGGATTTACATTATCGGCAAAATGAATAAATCGCAAAAGTAAGAGGAAGATATCCCTGACCATATTCTTTCTGAAGATTGGAGTGCCAATAAGAGGATCATGCTTCCAATAGTTGGTAAGAACATGTTTTTTTATATGTGGCATTAGCATGAATATTGCCAGAAATACACACATTTCACAGATGGTTGTATCGACCCATCGATGAACCCTTGAATTTTGCATAAACTGAAACTTGGAAAAGAAGACTTGGAAATATTCTATTTCTTCAGCCTCCTCACTGACTGAGAATTCTGATGTTATTCTGGAATCAAAAGCATGAATTTCTGGTTCAAAATTATCTCCATGAGACCAGACAAAAGGTTGTTTGTCAGTCTGGGTCATACAACACTACTATGCTCTTCTTCCCCATCACTCTCTTCTACATCAGTTGCACTTGAGTATATTTCTAGAAAATACTCTTCATCTTCTTCACCAGAGGATAATAACACTTCCTCTTCATTGTCATCACAAAGTTCTAGTAATTTTTGATGACATAAGATTCTCACGGTTTGAGAGTTTTCATTTGGGAGCAGCAGACATGCATGATGTACTAGGTTCTTCAGCCATGACAACATGTGAGTAACTGAAGTGTGGGTGCATGACATTGTTTGGGTACTGAACTGGGATGACTCGCAGCACCCATACAACTTTACAGCTCACCAAAGTAGTGGTGGGCCATTCAAAATGTTGCATAAAAAATGCATCATATGATGTCAACTGCAGTCACCTATGCAGTTGAAGGGTTAAATATCTCTAGCTTAAGTATATAATGTGTAAACTTAATTTATCATTATCAATTGGTTATCGCATAGTTTTCAAATTTGAATAAAGGATAGGTCATTGAATATTTTGTCTGTGTTAATGAAACTTCATAGGTTTGTGTTTAATATCATTATGTTTTTGCCATTGTTTGTGTTTTTTAGTGTATCAGAATAACTTCAGTATTTATAATAGTATGTAACAAAGCAAAATATCGAACCTTTTTTAAATGCTGAAGAAGTAAATTGTTGCATTGGTTTTTAGATATTTTACTATAACCTTCAGTACTTAAAGAATTAATATATTGTGTAAATATTTGCTAACTTGTAGACTACAATGTGTTTTTAATACATTATACATTTATGTGTATAGAAAAACTGTTAACTAGTGTGATATATCTTGTATATAGTAGATTTCTAAGTTTACAGTACAATACAGTCAGTGGGTACTTGTATTGATTTAAAAATGAATTGCCATTAATCCTAATGTACAGAAAATTTATCATTGTAATAGATACTTTGTTATTGAAGTTGTTTTATTGCTTAATATGAAACTATGCCCAATCTTCTATTTAAATTATAGATTATTTAGTTGAAGTAGAAAAAATTTATCAAATAGTTTTTGCTTCCTTGATGTTTCCTCTAATTAATCAGTTCTTTATAAACTTTTAACTGGACATGTCTTTGTTCCTGATGCTCAGATTTTCATTTGTATGTTCACATGGACACTGAACTATCAGTTTGGTGTTATGTTTTCCACACTTGGAACAGTGATAACAGTAAATTACTTTAAAACAGTTGAATATCATAATCTTGTCTTTAAAATAAAATAATCATGTTTTTTTTATTTTCTAAATACAAATCATTTTAATTTATGAAGAAATTTTCTTAATGAAACTTTATAGTTGCTTCTTAACTTCCTGTCCATTTAAACCAGTGAAAGGATGTATGTTTACACATTTAAACAAACTCAGAAAACTAATTTTTAAATATTTTATGGTTCATTCTGTCCCATTGAATCAGTGCTTTTTTTTGTCTGAATATGTCCAACTATATATATCTCTAATATCTTACATATTTAAATTCATTCTCCCAAGTTCACTCTTGCCCAATAACTTGTGCAGTGTCACAGGAATTTCAGGTTATTCTAAAAATAGTTATTTGTTGAAATAACGTTCTTGTTTACTTATTTCAATACTAGGAAACACTTACCTACAGCTATTTTAGAGAGGTTTGAAGGAATGAAGACATTATGTGATTAGAAACTTTCCTGTGAAGTCCTCAATTCAAGACTCCAAATAGATGAAGTTCATAAATATTTACATGTATATATATATATATATATATATTCAGATCTGAATAGGTTTACATTATTATATATGTATAGAGTGTTGTTATGCATAGTATCTCAATACAGGTTTTAAGTATAAACTCTTATAATTTTAGAAATATTATTGTTATATTCCTAAGGAAACAAGGAGTGCTGTAACTGCAACACTGCTTGGTGGAGACTGGGATATACGACTTGAATACGATCCAATGTGGCCAAATGACTATGAAAAAATTATGAAAGAAAGAATGGAAAAAAAACAGAAAGAACGACAAGAACTTAGAGAATCAGACATCAGAGAAAGGTTGTTTATCATTATATGTTCAGTATCTAAGCATATGAAAGACTAAGATATTGGTTTACATATTTTAGTTGACATGTATCTTATTATTACCAAAACAGGCTGTATTGTTCCATTATATTGTTTTCTAATACAGTATGCAAGAAAAAACAAACAAATGTTATTCATTAATCTGTATCTTTTTCATTTTATTTTAGTTACATAAATCAAAATAAACTTGACTGTATTTCAGAATTTCTTCTTTCTGCTTACTTTTATCTTTGTATATGTAGCATTGATGTCATCTTTGGCTCAAGTTTTCTTTGCCATATTAGATGTAGTATGTCACACTTCAGTGGCTTTATCTAATTTTTTCCTACATGAGATCAGTTTTTTTAGCATTAAATATTTTTTTCTCTCACAAATACTCCTGCTTACTATTTTTCCTTGTTATTTTAGTGTTTTGCTTTGTAATATTTTTAAGTTTGCCAAGGTCTCTGCATGACCAAAGTATAGTTTTAGCAATATTTTTAGTTGGTTAAGTTTAGATTTTGATAGATACACCAGATAAGAATGTCATATGCATTATTCCGTTAAAGGTTCTTGTACCTTGTTTGTTATAATGCTGAATAAGCTGTTGATTTGTGTACTGAACTGGAATGTAGAAAGAAAGTTAAGGATATTTAAATTGACAATAGTTAGCAATTATGTTGCATTTAGTTACCTTTTTTACTATTAAAAATCACCTTTGTTATCTTATAAGGAGGCAGAAAGATCGTAATCGTGATCGAGACATTGATAAACGAAGAGAACAAGATGAAGAGAAAGAGCTACCAAAGAAAGGTAAATGTTAAGTAATCTTAGTTTTAATTTTAAGAATTACATTGAAGTTTATTGATAAGAAAACCATGTGGTACATTTGTTTCAGTATCTTTAATGTTTTTATGTTTGGTAATGTTTATTAGGGTATTTTCATTAACTTCTGATCAAATCCAGATACTTACATAGATAAGATCTGAAAACTAGCCCAGTAATGAATATAGTTGTTTAATATACTGTTCTTACTTTTAATAATTAGAAAGCATTGATTCATGAGTTAGGTACCCTCTCTGCATATTTTTGATATCTCCAGTATTCACAACGTGAGTTAGCAACTTGCAAAACTGAACTGGTTAGATTAAGAGTATTTGAAATGTGATTGTTTTGCACCTATAAGCTAGGTGTATCTTTTTGTTTCTTTAAAAAGTAATTATTTTTGAACTACTGATAAGAAAAAGGGATATATAAACATTTTGGTATATTTTTTTTTCAGAATGGTTTACATTGCAATTTTTTAAACTTTTATCAATTACTTTTTGTCTTCTTTTATCTTGACTTATCTTGCTTAACCAGGATCAGCTTGACCATTTGTTTTCATATTATGGTCGTAAAATAAATTTTTTTATGCTTGCTAGTGTTAGTATGTTTTACTATTTATTCATTAATCATAAAACCAATTGTCACCTAGTTGTTTATGGAAGTGTTGAAAATTGCCACCAAAGCCTTGTGGTTGAAACATTGCAGAAGTATAATAATTAATAAGAATAATACAGTATTTCTGTATCATGTGAAATTTCAAATGTGATTAGTACTTAACTGGTACTCTGTGTATTTTTGTTGGTTATATTTAGAATTACAGTTTTCAATTTTGTGTTTTACATGAATCTTGTTCTTACAAGAAGTTTTATATACTTTGTTATGCATCTTACACCCTTCATGAATTTTGCTAATTTTTTTTTATTCTGTAAATGTGGTTCTCTGGTTTTAACTAATCAAAATTTAGATAATTTTTGCAAATAGCTTCATGTCTTAGTGTATTGAGATTTTTGTTTTTCAATTGGCTACCTGAGTTATATTTTAAAAACAAGCTGGGTTCACATTATTTTTTTTTCCTATAAAGTGGTTGAGGTGCAATTGCATGTCTTCTTTTTAATGTTTTTGCAAGGTTTTTTGACTGGCTGACTTGATGTAAAATGTACAGATATAAATTGACAACTTTAGTCTTTTAAAGTTTGTCAATGCACTGTTATAATTAAGTATATTGGAATATTTAGCAGCATCTTAGTGTTTTAAATTAGGATAGGATATTGTAAAAAATATATTTTAAAACCATCCATCTACTACGACTGATAGTTCTTGATCTGTGTCATCATATTGCGACTGATAGTGAATTGTGTGTTATTCAACAAGGTTTAAACTTTGCCATCACCGCTTAAAGATGTTTAACTTGTTTGAGACATCAAATGTTTAGTAGAAAATATTGATTTTATAATTGTGATTTACACTACTGTTAATAGCCATAAATGTAATGATCTTGAAGGTATTTCTAGTTGTAATTCTCATACTGAGTTTGATTCTAAAACAAAATTTCTAACATTTTGGAAAAAAAAGAAAGTCAGTACCAATTTAAAACTAAACCAAAGTATCCTTTTCTTACATGCAGATAAAGATAATACCACTGTCATCATGAATTACTGTGATTACAGAAAAATAATTGTTCAGTTATTAAGTTATCTTGAATAATTTAAACCATTTAGCTCCAATCCCTCCCAAAACAAAGTGAAAAAATCTTATTTCAACTAATTAAAATTAATCAAATAACTAACACCATATTGATGTTTCTCAGTGCTTCCAATTCACACAACATACTTGTACGATCTCTCCAAAATTCATAAAAACTAATAATCCCATTAGACCTGTCCAAGCATGTTCTAGTGGTTATGATGTTGGACATTGAACATGATGGTGTGTAGGTTGCATCCTGTTGGTGCAAAATCATGCTCCACACTTTAGTGCTGTGAGTGCATTATAAGAGTGAAGTTAAGATCCTACTATCCAATTATAGTAGCCTAAGAGTTAGTGGTGGGTACTGTTGATTAGCTACCTTCTGTCTAGTCTATCAGTTCAAAATTAGGTGAAGTTAGCACAGATAATCCTTGTATAGTTTTCCACAAAAAGACCATTAGACTCTAATTATAATGCTTTTAATTGTCTAGTTCTACTTTGTTGAAATTTTTTAACTTTGCAACTTTCATTATTAATTGTCAGTATAATTTTGAACAAACCCAAGGGCTAAGAATGGGGAATCAAGTTTCTGCTGTTCTTGGAAGTTTAATTATGATAATTTTAATCAATACTATTAATACTTCTATCTTTTTTTCCAAACATACTTGGGATAGATATGTTGATGACATTTTCTCTGATGTCCCTTACAGTAGATAAGGAAAATTCAACTTTTGAAGCGTATCAACACTATTAACCCAATTTACTAAGAAGTATGAAATAGATCAAGAATTTCGTTTTACAAATACTTTCAATTCAGTAAAATAAGTATTTCAACACAAATTTACCCAAATCCCACACACAAATTTGAATCTTCATAAAGATTCATCTCATATTCCCATTCAAGAATTAGCCATGAGTAAATGTTTTTTGCAAGCACTATTTCTATTTGTAAACAACAAAGATTCATCAAAGAAAGAGATCAGTTACATTAAATTTTGTTTTATAAAATTAATTCCCTGAATTTTTAGATGACATCTTTTAACCCGATGTCCACCGGCTACCAACTGTCTGAGTAGCTAATGCAAGTCTTAATATATTTCATTCCAACAATAAAACTAGTGGATGAAATTGTTTGAAACTTCATAAGAATTTTCATAAATGCATATAGTTTAAGAAATATAAAGCCTGTTACTTTTGATAAATTTAGTTTTTTTTCATTATGATCTTTAATATCTTGGAAAATTACTTTAGGAAATGGTATTTATAAGAAATAATTATGATATTTATATTTGTTCCAGATTTGAACTTATTACTTTTTATGTTTTAGTATGTTATTTTAAAATTCCCAAAATTTTTTATCATCCATAAAATGCAAATTTTATCAATTTTTAATTTTTTTAATAATCACGTACTTTATGGTTTCAAGTAATATACAAGACCTGAAAATAATATTTATAAGTAAACCTAAACAATAAATGAGTATTTTTATTTTTAACTAGGATTTTGTATTTATATATATGTACATAAAAAACATTTTAATTTTGTTTCATAAATGTAATTTTATTTCAAGTTTACGTTTCATTGCAGCCATACTTTTGTTCATTGTGCTGAATAAATCGTGAGGCTAGCAGTGTGAACTTTGTACATTTGCCATAAACTATCATGCTTGTTGGTGGTCACTCTTGTTCAGTCCAGCACAGGCGCATTTCAACATTACAGTAGATACGATAGTAAGAAAGCTTTTCAGTACTTGAATATCATTTCTTTGAACTTTCAAAGAAGTTTATTTCAACATATGTATTTGTATGTTGTTTCACTATACAGACAAAATTAATTGCCACTACTACTTACTAGCGAATGTATGTTATAGTTTACAGTACAGGTGATTTGAATAACACCGCCTGACCCTAGTTACTTGATACATCCTGTTAGAAGATATTACCAAACAATACAGACACCATAAATTACAAAGAAAATTACTTTACAGCACTTAAAAGATTAGTACTGGTCACATTCCTCTCATTATAGGCAAGATTTATGTTGGAATTTGAAACTTAAGCTCTTCAGTGTATTGAGACCCTTACTGTGAGAATTTCATAGCTTCCCTGTATTATTGAGATGAATGTATTTAGTCAGTTTC